AAACGCAGAACCCAGAATCGAACCTATCCTCTCATGGATCGATTCCGAAACTCGTTTCCATCGACCTCCGGCACAAAGCCCACCAATACAACATGAAATACAACCACAAACAATAATCAATCGCATAAAACCCACCAATCAACATGAAATCCAAGCACAAACAATCAACCGCATCCTATTAAATTCTTTACCCAGATAAGCCATGGTCACGCACTCACCTCGATTTCGGATAGAAAAAGCTATGAAATCGACGAAGAACACGATGAACACGAAGAACACGGATCCCAAATCCGAAATCCTTCCCTGCACGATCCTCTCTTGCTCTCATAACCTCACAATCACCAATACAAGCCTATAAGATCGAGAACATGAAGGGAAACAACGAAAATCCCTTCTCCTCTCAATCCTCTCTCCTTCACTCTGATTTTTCTCTGTTTTTCTGCCCAAAAACCCGTTGTTCGACTTAAATAGCCAACCTGCCGACACCTGCGTCGATCGACGCAACGCACCGGCGTCGATCGACACTCCTGCCGACACCTGCGTCGATCGATGCCACGTCGTTCGATGCCAAGCGCCTGCATCGATCGACGCAACACCCAGAACCCGACTTCTCGCAAGTCTAAACACGTGCATCGATCGACGCACAACACCTGCGTCGATCGACGCAGCACCAAAATCCACTTTTTGGTTCACGGGCGTTACAACTTCGGTGTTGTCTGTCAGCTTTTGTGTTTTGGTGGCTTACCCTGGCTGAGATGATTGGTCTCTCTGGTTTTGCTCCATTTCGTACTTACCGGTTTTATTTATCCGTTTGGCACCCCAGTTTTTTTGGTTGTTAGCCGGCGTAGGTGTTTCCATGTTCTATCTCTGAGGTCGTTCCCGTTTCTCTCACCTTCATGATTTGGCTCGCTTAAGGCTGGTGATGGTAAGATTTTTCTGAGTCTCGGGTTTTAGCTTCATTGGTATGGCTTGGGTTTTGGCTTTGGTTGCTTTAATGCTTCGTTGTGCTCTGTTGATGTGTCTTAGATTGGGTTTGAGTCTTTGGTTTATGCCTTCCTTCCACTGTTGTATCGAGGTTGATCTTTTGCTGGTGGGTTTGCAGTGACCTTTCACCCTCCTTGGGCTTTTCTCGCTGCGGATGGTCTTCTCGGCTTTCCCATCTTCTAGTTTTAGCTTGGATTCAGACATGGCTTTGCTTCCTTTTATGTCTCGGTTCTTGTCGCCTTTGATCATGTTCGATCTTCATTGGTTTGGCTC